GTTCTCTTTCTTCCTTCTTCCCCCTCTCTCTTCCTTCTTCCCTGTTCCCTTCTTTCTCCCTTCCCCGCCTCCGCCCTCCCTTTTTTTTCTCTTCTTCCTTCTTTCTTCCTCTTTTCTTCTTTCCCCTTTCTTCCCTTTTCCTTCCCCTTTTCCCCTTTTTCCCTTCCCCTCCCCTTTCCCCCTCCCCCTCTTCTTCTTCTTCTTCTTCTCCCTCTTCTTCTTCTCCTTCTTCCCTCCCCCGTTTCCCCTGTTCTCCTTCCCCGCCCCCTCTCTCCCCCTCCCCCCCTCGTCCCTTTTTTCCCGGTTTTCTTCTTCCTGGTTTTCCCCCCCGCTCTTTTCCTTCCCTTCTTTCCCCCTCCTCCCCTTTCCCCCCTCCCGCCTTCTTCTCCCTCCTCTCTTCTTCTCCCCCTCCTCCCCTCCCTTTCCCCTTTCCTTCGCCCTTCCTTCCCGTTCCTCCCCCCGGTCGCTCCTTCTCCCCGTCCCCCTCTCTTTCTTTTCCCGCCCTTTCCCCCCCCTCTTTTTTCCCCCCCCCCGGGCCCCCGGCCCCCCCGGTCTTTCTCTCCCTTGTCCCTCTTCTCCTCCTTCTTTTCTCTTCCCCCGTCTCCCTCTTTCTCTGTCTCTCTCCTCCTTTTTTCCTTCCTTTCTTCCCTCCTTCCGCCTTTTTTTCCTTCCCCCTCCTCCGCTTTTCCCCTCTCCTCTCCCCCGGTTCTTCCTTCTCTTCTTTTCTTCTTCTTTTCTTTTCTTTTTTCTCCTCTTCTTCCCCCTCTTTTCTTTTTTCCTTCCGCTCCCTTTTCTTTTCCTCTTCCGTTTCCCTTTCTTCTCTTCTTTCTCTTCTTCTTTCTTCCTCCTCCCTTTCTCTTTTTCTTCTTCCCCTCTTTCCTTTTTTTTTTTCCCTTCCCCCTCCCTCCTTCCTCTTCCTTGCTCTCCTCCCTCCTTTCTTTCTTTTCCTTCTTTCTCTTGCTTTCTTCTTTTCTTCCTCCTTTCCTTCCTTTTCCTTCCTCTCTCCTTCTTCTTCCTCCCCTTCTCTTCTTCCCTCCTTCCTTTCCTCCTTTGTTTCCTCTTTCCCTCTTCCCGTTCCCCCTTCCTCCCCCTCCCTCCCCCCCTCCTTTCTTTTTTCCCTTTCTTTCTCTTTTCTCCCTCTCTCCCCCCCCCCCGTCTTTTCTCTTCCCTCCCTCTTCCTTTTCTCCCCTTCGTCCTCTTTCTCTCTCCTTCCTTCCGCTTCTCCCTTCCTCTTCCCTTCCCTCTTTCCTTCTTTCTTTCCCCATNTTATCAATTATTTATCAATTATTTATCAATTACTTATCAATTACTTATCAATTTCCCATAATAATTTCCAAAAGTTTGAGCGTAAAAAATGTCTCCAACGGAAAATATCTAATTCTTCTTTTATTAAATCAAAAATAAATAATATTTAATTAACCATACATAACAATATCAATTTATTTATTTTAATTATTTATACCAATTTACTATCCTATCTTAATAATTATATCAATTTTAACCAATAACATATAATTATTATTAATAAAATTATATTTTTAAATAATTAATTTAATAATTTATTTAATATTTAAATATTATTGCTAAAAATTAATAAAAATAAATAAAAAAATAATTTATTCCTTAAATTTATTTATATCTTATAAATATATAAAAAAAAAAAAATAATTTTATATTAAATAAATATTAACCTTATAAAAATTAATAATATTTAATATCCCTAATTATATTAAAACCTATAAATTAATATTAAATTAAATATTTAATTATTTATTTAAAAACAATTTTAATATAAAAATAAAATAAATCTTAAAAAACCTTTTTAAAATAATAACCTTTTTAACATTTATTAATTTAACTAACCCAAAAAAAAAAAAAAAATAATTAATAAAATTTATTACTACCTTTTTATTATTTATACATTTAAACAAAAATATATTTATATATTTAACACAATTAAAAATAACTAACAATAACGTTTAAAAAATAAAAACCAACTTATATACCAAAAAAAATAGCTATATTTAACATAATAAAATAAAAAAATAAATAAATATATAAATATTAATATATTTTTACAATATATTTAATTATAAGGAATTTAAAAGTTTTATTTAATAATATTAAACATAAAATAAATGCTTACCTTTTATTCGAATAATATATATAAATACTTTTAACTTACTTTAATATTAAAATAATTAATAAATTAAATAAAAATTTAAAATTACCAATACACCCGTAACTTTTAAAAAATAAAAAATTTAAAAAAAAACTTAAATTAAAACCTTAACTTTAACTTAAAACTCCTATCGCTTAAATTAAACCTTTAATATTTAAAAAAATATTAACTAAAACCTTAAACATATTAAAAACGCCAAAATAATTAATAAAATTATTTACTAATAATAATAATATATTAATTAAAAAATTTTTAACTATAATAAACCTAAATAAACGTTATTTTTATAACCTTAACCTATATAAAATTAATTAATATAAATATAAAAAATTTACACTTTATAAATAAATTATTAATATATATAAAAATACTATTAACCAATTATAACCTAATTTCCCAATTAAATAATTAAACTAAAATAAATTTAAAATATAATTCGATCAAATTAAACTTAAATTTAAAAAAATTATTAATTAAACTAAAAATTATATTAAATACGTTACTGTAAAGGTTAAAAAATAAATTAAAATTATTAAATTTAAAAATAAAAATATAAAAAATTTAAATTATTAAAAAGTTTTATTTTTATTAAAAATATATTAATTAATAAATTTTACATTAAATATAAGGTTTATTTATTAAAATTACCTTATTATAACTAATATTATTAACTTTAAAAAATATTAAATAAATATAATATTATAATAATATTATATATAAAAATTTATTATATAATTTTAATTTTTAAAACTATATAAAGTTTTTAAATTATTATATTTTTTTAATTATCATTATTAATATTAATTCTTTTATTATTTAATAATTAATAAATAAATATTATTTTTATTTATTAATTTTATGGTTATTTATACCTATTATATATATTTTTTTTTATATTAAATATATATTTATTTCTTTTTTTTAAGCTTAAACCTTATTTTTAATTAATATAATCTTGTTATATATTCAAAAATAAAATACTATTTTTAACTATTAAAAATATTTTTTATAAAGACTTAATACATTAAATGTATAATTTTACTTTAAAAATTATTTTATACTTGTTCAATAATTAATATAAACTTTTATAATTTAATTTAAAAGATAATTTAATTTTTTTAATATTTTTTTATAATTTTATTTTATTATATAATATAATATATAAATAATTATATATTAATTTTTATTAAAATATAATTTAAGAAATTTTTATATTTAATTAAAGGTTTAATAAAAAATATATTAACCATTTTTAAAAATAAAATAAATATATTAAAATTATTAAAAATTTAAAAAATTTATATATATTTTAAAATAAATATTTATATTTTAAATTAAAATTAAATTATTTAAAAAATAAAATATATTAAATTAATATTTTATTATAAAAATAAAATTATATATTAATTTATTTAATAATAAATAAAATATAAAAAATATATAATAAATATTTAATTATAAAATTAAATATAAATAAAAATATTAAATTATTTAATAATATTTATTAAAATATATAAAAAATTAATAAAATAGTTATAGAAAAAAAAAAAATATTATAAAATAAAATAATTTTATAATTTTAAAATTTTAGATTTAAATTTACTTATTCTAAATTCTAACCAATTATATTATTTAAAAACTAAAAATATTCTATTTTACAAAATCATTTTATAGGTGGAATTATTTCCCCAAACCCCCTACCTTCGCTATGGTAGTTATTGAGTATTTTTCTTATCTCCCAATGTTAGAGAAAATCATGAGTTCCTAACCTAAGAGAAATATCTATCTACTCCATTTATTTATACCAACAAATAAAAACTTATACATAGTAGAAAAACCTATCAGAAAGTTTTGCTTTATAAACTACACAATTCTTAATGAGGTCTAGAATATATTGTGCCTCCCTTACATCTCAGGAGAGAGTAGCTAAACCATGGTTGGCAATTTAACATCTTACGGTGGGAGAAAGATACAGATAGATACAGATTACTCACCTAATTAATTAAGACCCAGCTGAAGACTAGGATATAATCTGCGAGAAAGGTGTAAGGGTTCCTGACGAGACATCTAGGACTTTCGTACGTAGCTTGGAGTTCTTTACGGAATAACGAAGATGTTTCTTTGCTTCTTGCTCCATCTTATGACCGAAGGTCCCTGATCGTTTGAGCCAATCACATATTTTTTATAATTTAAAAATGATTATTATAGCTTAGTCGTACACTCGGAAAACGTACCTAGAGAATTATGGCTTTTAACAATTACGTTAAAATAAGCCTTTAACTACTTAACCTATATTTATTTGCCTAACAGATATTTGCTGCATAAATGTATAGGCCCGCGCATAGTTATAAACTTATAACTTTCACATGCAAAACAACTGTGTTGGATCAATAGTATGCCTCAATTCGTGAGCAAGGATTGGCTACGCTGCGTCATAGGTAGCGTTAACGTAACCTCAGTGCGTATCGATATGCGCTACTAGCGCAATCTTGCAGGTCCCGGCACCCTTTGTTTAAGCCGAGCAACATGTGCACTTGCCGAGGCCAAACCAATTCAGCCATCGTCATCTCCAATCATCCCGAAAATGTGTTTCTTTTACTTCTAACAAACATCGTAACTACCTAGGTACCTAACCTATCTACCATGCTCCGATAATTCAAACTTTAAATACTGTATATAAACCAATGACCCGATAGCATCTCCGAGTACGTCCTAATCTCTCGAAAGTCGCCGTTGCTCTTCCTCTTTGTATTGCGGCGACGCGAAACCGACCGAGCTTACCTCTGTTCCTCCCTCTTCTCCTAATCCCAGTGCCAAGATGGAACCAACATCAGCGTCGGCGCTCGAGGGCCTCAAGGCTGCAGTCGAACAAGTTGTTCTTAACCCTGCGTACCACGACATCCTCGCCGTTGTAAAAGGGGCTCGCAACGGAGCTGTGTACGGGGCCAAGGTGCGCTTCCCGCACGCGCTGGTGATGGTGTTTCTATTCCGGTCCGGTACTTTTCGGGAGAAAGTTTCGCTGGTGATCCGCGCCACGCGCACACATGCGCAGAACCTCGCGCGCTTCGCCGTTATCTATAAGCTAGTATGTTTCTTGCTAAAGCAGTACGGACCGACACCCGGGAAGGCAGGGCGATATGATTCGTTTATGGCGGGTCTACTAGGCGGGTACGTGGTATTCGGCGGGCGATCACAGCGCACCGGCAAGATCCCCAGTGTCAACCAGCAGATTGTGGTTTATGTGTTTGCGCGCGTCGTGCTAGCGCTTGCGCGGCTCGCTGTGAAGCCCGAGGGCGGCACGGGGCTACCGCTAATATCGCGACAAGGCGTCTCCGAGTCGATAACACGCTACGCCTGGCCCGTCTTCGCGTCACTCTCTTGGGCTAGTGTAATGCATCTATTCCGTTATCACCCCGACGACCTACAACCCTCGCTTCGTGGCAGCATGACGTATATCTACCAGCAGTCAGATCATTGGGATAGCCTAAGGAATTTCATTTGGCATAATAAATAGCGAGTTATTTGAAAATGGAATCATAGGAGCATATGGGAGAGATCTGGAAATGGGCTCTACTACTATACGATATCACCGGAGGCGTTTGTGTTGAATTCTTGGATGTTATATTAACATAGGTACCTAGGTATATACGGCTGTAGGCATTTAGCATGGATAAACAGCCAGGTTCGCATTGATGACGCGAGCAGCACGGAAGAAGACGGATATCCTTCAGCTTGACAGGGGATCGACTGCAGCAATCGTGTATAACCCTCGACTAGATTCAGTCCTGCCCCCCCCCCCCCCCCCCCCCCCTTACTGTCATAGGCCGCCTTATCCGCTTAAACTAATTGTCACCTATTGGCATTGTGGTTGAACGAGCTAAACAACCCCAAGGCGACCGGCAATTATGTCGGAGGATATGGGTTCCCAGACCTATCTTGGTATGCTACGTGGAAGACGGTGCAGGAGCTTCAACGATGAGGCTCTACATAATGTACCAAATTATAAATCCAAATGGGACTGCGATAGCTTGTCAGAAGAATATACCTTAGGTCCTCAATCCAATGCCTAATATCCAAATACATTTTTTCTATCACGTCTTTTTGTCTATGCCGTTTTTTTGTATATACTTTTTTACAAGTGCATCCATCCGTTTGACCACATTATTTGCATTTCGTTGATGAGGCACGCGTCTCCTGGTTCATACCGCTGTGGGCCTTCATTCGGAGTTTCTGACCTCCATTGTTCTAATCTGGTCTGCACTACTCGGTTTTCCAATCGAGTTTGGATGGCGACGTGCCAGCCATTCAACCGATTAATCCACGCCCCTATGACCGTCCAGAACGGATTGGGGAATCGATTCGTCTTAACCTGGTTATATGCGTTGACGCCGTAGGCAACGCGAACATTCGGGTTAAGCCATACGCCCTTCTTAGCCGTGAGGTAGTTGTCGGCATGAATCAAACAGCATTCTGAACCCTCAAGATGCAGATCTGCTAGACTATCATCGATGCCGCGGAATCGTAGAGGTGGATCGGCGTAAAAGGGTCTCGCATCAAACACTACAATTCCGTTCCAGCATGAGGTTACACGGATAGGTGCATTGCGCTCAGCCGCCGCCCTCGCAATAGGAGATTGGAACCAAGGCCAATATAAGGACATAGTTTTTAAGCCCATGTCGTCTCGTAGAGCAAATGTGTCGTAATATAAGGGTGCTACCTTGTAATCCATAGCACACGCAGCAGCGTAATTATTGTCACGAGTGTTGAACAGTGTGACGATATCTTCGGTCTAGGTCATTCAACGTTAGCCATCTAATTACGACGAGAATACTTCTACACAAGATCATGTGAGCATACGTCAAATACAACATCGTTCAGCCAGAGAACCTTGTCGAGCTCTCTTCCTTCACTCTGCAGCTGCTTAAGCGGTTCCATTGCTTGGTTTCGAACCTTGGCAAGGTAAGGTATTCTGCGTAGTTCGAATTGACTTTGTGCAGCATTCCAAATCCATCCGGGCTCCCGCGCGTCTGGCGGCGGTCGCGTGTCAATTTCTTCCAACTGCTCCCAAACCGTCATCCCCAAACTGATTGTATTGGAAACATATCTCTGATCAAGAGCTGCCTTCAAGTCCATCAATGCCTCTTTCGTTTCATCTTGGGACCCTGATTCGATAGCCGACAAGTAAATGTTTTCAGGACCGAAGAAGTCGACTAAGTCTAACACCGCCTGGTTCCATGTTGATCGCAGTATCGGTTCGGTATTGCGATGTACCGATGCAATGAAGACGCTGGTGTTTCTCGGGAGAGAAGAGTCGGATTGTCGATCGACGTGTATGTTCTCGCGGTAAGTATCGGGACGGTGGCGTACTAGGGATATAGCATCGATAGAGAAGAGGAAGAACAGGACGAAGAGGAGTGGGCGCAGGTAGTTACGCCTAAAGCGGCGGTACTTGATGAGCATCTAGGAGAAGACGATTGCCTTGGTAGGCAGAGAACTGTCTACCTACACACAAAAGAAATGGAGCAAAGGAAGGACTGAAGGGATCTAGTAATTGGAAGTTATGGCATTATTGAAGAAACGACAGCTGTCTCCATCGGCCCCCGTTCTAGATGAAGTAAACAGGGCGTGAAGATTATGGGATTCTCGACAACTACCTACTCTGCTACCGTAACTACCATATAGCTACCGCATTAAGATGACTGAATAACTGCAACGTGTAGGAATTCCATGGGACTGAACTGTAAGCCAAGGGGCCGCGTATGTATTTAGGGATTCTCGGCGTTTAAAGCCAAGGTGAAGGCGTCGAATAAAAAGGTGTCGAGGTTTTGAGAGAAGTGTTAAGCCCATCCTGGCTTAGGTACCTTGCATAGGTACTTTACCCTAGGTACCTGCCTATTACCTAACAGAGGAATAAGCACTCCCTAAGCTCGGACTTCCTAATGACATCCAGATCCCGTCACTTTAAGATCGGAGTCAGCATTGAACAAAATTATTACATTGTGCAAGGAAGTTCTCCCATTTTTAGTGGAAATAAACCTTGGAAGTAAAAAGAGCATATTGGCAGTTGCCGCTATCCGAATTTAGCTACTATGCATGCATAAATAGATACATCCTGGTTGCGCATGCCGACCCGATAACTCGGATAAGGTGTCCCGGTGTGCAGTCAAGGCAAAGCAAGGCAAGGAAAGGCAATCAGAGGAAATAGGTACCTTAGGCGGTATCGTTAACGCAGCACCTGTTCGTGCAAGATCCCGCGCACTTTTGTGACTTTTGGACAATGTACCATTTTGGAATTGAAAACGTGGCGGAGCGCGACGAAAAATTAAATTAATTAATTATAAAAATAAAAATAAATAATAAAATAAATTTTATATTAAAAATGATATATTATATAATATAATATATAATATATTATGTAATAATTATTTAATTTTATTTATTTTATTTATTTTATTTATTTTATTTATTTTATTTATTTTATTTATTTAATAATAATAAAAAAGTATATAAATATAAATATTATTATTAATATATAAATTATAATTATATAAAAATTATATTAAAAACTATTTAAAATTAAATTAATTATATTATATTTTAATTTTTTAATTTTTATAAAAAATATATATAAAATATATTATTATTTTTATTTTAATTAAATATATATTAAATATAAATATAATTATATAAAAAATATTAAATAATATTTTTAAAAATTACCATTATTATTATTATATATATTTAAATAATTTTATATTAAAAACTTATATTAAATTAATATTTATATTATTAAAAAATTTATATTAAAATAAA